CCCCCCCCCCCCAAATCCTCACGTCGGGATGCTCTACTCCAAGTTACACGTTATCGAACTATAAAATAATCCTATGCAATCCTAGATTTATGTCTAACGTATATCTAAATATAGGTTTCGGGAGTTATGCGCAGGTTTTCATGCCCCAGTCGTCGACGCAACCGATATTTTCGGTATACAGAATATGCAGAACACTAGTAGAATTTTCTTGAAATTTCAGTCATAGCTTCAGCTGAATTCTCAATGTTGTGAGTTTGAATTTAGTTTTCGTCTTGAGGTATTTATGGCGGGGTGGGCATGGAGGAGGTGAGACGGAGGGGAATCTATTGTTCTCTCGCAGACAACCAATCGCTGAACAAAAAAACGATATTTCAATTACAAATTTTCAATTAATTCCGGCTATTTTTGTGTTCGAAATATTTTTTTAATTACTTTTCTATTTTTTCCCACATATTTCAAGCCTTCTTTTATTTTTCTAGCTTGTCTTTTGGATGATTGGAGAATAATTAATGCGGATAGAAAAAGTGACAACGTCGTGCCGTTAGAGGTACAAGTTGGCAGCACTGATTCACTCAGCTGTTATGTTTCTTCCCATAGGGAAATGTATCATCGCAACTCCATTCGTATTTGCCGCGCTTACCCCTCCACGACTTCTAACCTCGACGTTGTCGCTATTCCAAGTTGCGCACGCAGAATTCCTATTTTTTATGAGCTTTTAATTATCCCTTCTAAACAATTCTCCTAGGCCACTTGGATTATTTTTTTTATGTTGCTTCATGAAAGGTCCACCCAAGTGCGAAATTTCCGGAAAATGGCGACTTTTTTTCTATTTTAAATATTTTTCTTTCAGAATTCCCATCAGAGCCGGTGTTAAAATGCATTTTTTTAGAAAAATTGCTGTGTTTCGGCCATTCTTCTAGGCCATCTGCGATTTTGCATAGGGGTTTTGAAAAAATCAAAGAATGTATGAAAAAAATTATTAATTTCTTAATTTTTTTTGGACCTCCCCTGACTACGCCATAAATACCTCAAGCAATTGTTGATATTTCAATGAAAGCTTGACTTTTCAAACTCATTCAAACTCATTCAAACGCATTTGATATCTAAAATTAGATATCAAATGCAACGGAATTTTGAATAGAATGAGAATTCAGAAAAGTTTCTACCTAAATTTTCCAATTTTCAACATTGTTCATTGCCGCACGGATCTAGAAATCGAGAATTACTTGAATATTCAAGAAATTAACTTCGTCAGTGAAGACATACAGAAATTTCATCTAACTTTGTCATGGTAAAAATTTCAAGCTTTTTCACGTGAAATTTCAGTCATAGCTTCGTCTGAACTCTCAATATTGTGAGTTTGAATATAATTTCAAATGAAAATGTTCAAAAATTTTCCCATTCATTTTGAAAATTCAGAAAAAAATTGGGTTTTTCACGTTAAAAAATCGTTAATATTTCAACGAAAGCTTGAATGTTCAAACTCATTGAAAAAATTAAATATCAAATGCACCTAATGTTGAATAGATTGAGAATTCAGAAAAGTTTTGCCGAATCACTCGCGAATTACTTGAATATTCAAGAAATTAAGTGATTCGTCGTGAAGCTATTTCATTTCAAATTTCAAGAGTAATTTTCTAACAGCGAATGCTGAAAAAGCGATTGTTGATTTGAGGATGAAAAAACTTTTTTTTTTAAGGATAAGGCACGAGCGTGCGCGCGACCATGTCTATTATTGATTCATATATTTTCCTCAATTTTTTACTTCTGGTTTATTTGGGTCTTCTTGTAGGTCTGCTGTACGGGGCCGTGCACACGTTTCGGGAGACAAGTAGACGGCAGTCGGGCGAGCGACGGAGTGACACGCAATGTCGTCGCCAAAAGACGAATGAGGAACGAGTGATAAGATGAGAATTAGGTGTCTGGTGGCGTGCTACGCCCGGCCTCCGTCAGTTTGAATTCGGTGAATTTTTTTTGTAAAAAAATAGTTTGATATTGTGCCAGTTCGATTGAATTGGTTATTATGCAAGCAAGAAACGGAATTCTTGATTTTTTGAGGAGACGTTCACTCCAGAAGAAAAACTTTTTCGTATTTTTAGAATGATTTTTAAATAAAAAATCAAATTTTTTTAAATGCAAAATCCAACGTTGAAATAATTTCCAATTTTCGCTTCTTAATTATCATAATTATAAATGAGGGATGATGTGTTTTGAAGTTGATATACCAACAAATACTGTTATTTTCAATAGTGTTATTTTCAATTAAAAAATTCGAACATCGCGTATTTCCTTCAAGTACAATATTCGGTTGCAAATCATTTGAATCTCCAATTCTGAGCAGTGGGAGACAATTTCAATCTACAGAATCTGATTCTTTCATTTATTTTTCCTCTAAAAACGAAAAAGCAAGAAACGAAATTCTTGATTTTTTAAGAGAACGTTCACTCGGAAAAAAAATCCATGAAAAATCAATGAAAATTGTAAATTCTCATTGAATTATTCCACGAGAATTCATAGGAATCCCGAAAATTCAGGATAACATACTCTTGAACTTTCAATTAATTTTAAATTCAGGGTAATCTATTTCTGAATCTTGAAAATTCAAGTGAATCAGGAAAATTTCGTGTTCCTGGAGCTCAAAAGTTCGCAACTTCATTGAATTTTTCGTACAATATGGAATTTTCCCTAAGAAGCGAAAATTGGTGACTCAATTCCAAAAACTATAACAAATTATAACAAATCCCAAAAACTATAACAAAGTACACTATTCCGTTACAACTAATTTAAATCTCCATTTCTGAGCAATGGGAGACAATTTCAACCTACACAATCTGATTCTTCCATTCATTCTTCCCCCAGAAACGAAAAAGTTCTTCTCCCGACACGATCCTCCCCTCAAGCCATTCAGACGAAAGCTCCACCCGAACCACATAAGAAGTCCTTCTGTAAATCCGACTGAAGCTGTCCCCTTCAATAATCCCATCAACTCATCAATCCGAAAAATTACCCCCATCTACTCCCACGCATGCAAACCTGCGCAAAACCGCCCGCTAATGTCCATCGAATAGGTACATCACTCACTCCTCACCTCCCCCGAAACTCCCCGCCAGAATTCTCTCAAAATTCACGAATCGTTCACTCAATTAAATAATCACCTCACACCTCTTCCACTGCCACGTGAAAATCCTCGACTCCCGTGGTCCTTTGAAATCTACAAATCTCCGTATTAATTACCTAACGCACTAAAAGTGACAAATAATGCCACAAGAATATAATTTACGTCTCGATGTGTAATCCCTCAAAATTCCCCCCCAAAAAATAAAAAAACAACTCGAAATTTGTGTTAATAATCCTTGATTCACGCTCAAGTTTCCTAAAAATATCTTTCATGAACTACAGTAATCACGTTCCCTATCATTTCACCACTCTCATTCACAATCCCTCGTCTCTTTACCCGAAATTTATATTCAAATTCCATTAAAAATTCTAAGTTTGTCTATGGTCGTTGATTTTAACACGTCGAGCACATCCTTACACTTCGCCCCTTCCTCCCCCCCAAGATCCGCCGCTCGACGCGTCGAATTTCCGCGCCACGCGGCAGGGGAATCCCCGGACTATATCGCTGCAGGCCCCACTCAGCGCCACCAATAAAAAAAAACGAATTCCCCTGCCGCGCCCCACGGACTCCCCCCGTGTTACAAAACTAACGCCAATACGAATATTTCATAAATATATTTATGCACGTACGCTGCATAAACCCCATATATTTATAATATATCATATATCTACTAAACTAGTACAAATAAATGAGCCCTTCGGCGTTCCCCTCTCATTCCCTCCAGTAATCCTCACGATCAATCGCAGTAACTAGCGAGTACCCTTTCCCGTACTCGTCCCAAATAATCCATAATCCTCTACAATAAATATAATCCTAATAGTACGCGTGGACGTAGACAAGATTGTGGAGGGGATGATGATGTGGATGGGGATTGTGCAGTGGTGTGCATACGGAACTCGTTATTGTGGTGGGTGATGGGGATTGATTGACAGATTGCATCGTGGATACTGGGGAGACCTGATTTTGTGGGCCTGCTGGGACCTGGGTGACCTGGTAAACGGCGTTTGGCCCAGTCATCTGGCACTGGGCCGCACCGGTGCCATGTTGGCCACCGTGCTGTATGTAGTTTGGTGGTAGACATACCTCTAGACGATCGGTACGTGGCATCTTCTGCGGCATTGCTACTGTCTGCTGTACAACACCTAGTGGACTACCAACCCCCGTGGGATCTGCTGGTCCCATTATCGCTGGCATTATTGGACTCGGTGTGAAGTATGGGGTGTACGTGTTGTTCACCTGTGGCATTCCGGTTAGGTAGGGATTGGTTGCCTGTCAATCAGAAAGGAAAAACGCCCCGGATGTCAAGTATCCAGGAGCGTTGGCATTAATTTAAGGTGAAGTTTTTTTAGCATTCGGTTTTTTTTTGTTTTTTGCGACGTTTTGGGGGTGGGAAGGACGCGTATGTACAGCGGGTCGTTCCTCTGAGCTGATTCACTCGAGAGGGTTCTGGGGGAGGCCCTTTCGCACTTGCACTTTACGCTTTTTGATACAAATTGCGCTCCGACGCGTTTTTTTTTTGAGGTGCCGCAAGTTAGAATAAGGCGACGTAGGGCGGGTTGTAGTTTTGATTGTGGAGGGGAATCATGGGGATTGGGGACTGTGTGCGGGGAACAATGGACATGCGCGACGATTTTTTAATTGTACTACAGTGCGATACTGTCGGTTGATACTGAGAAAGTTACAGGCTCTAACTACTGAATTGAGTTTAACAAACTTTTGGGTTTGACTGGTGAGAAGTGGAAACACTTGGAGGGATGGGATTGAGAAAGGAATCAGAAAGGAAAAACGTCCTTTTGCACTTGCCCTTTATGCTTTTTTTATCCACATCGCGCAACGGTTTTTTTTTTTTTTTTTTTTTT